GTGGCCAATTGTTGACAGCAGTTGGTGTTGATGCGAATAATGGTATGTATCCAGTGGCATATGCAGTTGTGGAGGTTGAAAATGGGGATAATTGGAAATGGTTTTTGGAGTTATTGAAGGATGATTTGCACATACATAGCAGTCAACATTGGATATTCATTTCAGATAAGCAAAAGGGATTGACAAATGCAATTGGGACATTGTTTGAGAATTCGGAGCATAGGACGTGTGTCAGACATCTATACAACAATTTCAGCGTCTGTCACAAGGGTTTAGCATTGAAGAACTGTTTGTGGGATGCAGCTAGGGCCACTACTATATCCCAGTGGCGTCAGCACATGCAACGGATGATGGACTTGGACCCGGCTGCTTATGGATGGCTTGAAGAAAAACCAGCTTCCCATTGGAGTAAATCCCATTTTAGAGAGTGGAATCAGTGTGACATGCTTCTCAACAACTTATGTGAATCATTTAATAGCACAATTGTGGCTGCAAGAAAGAAGCCGATCTTAACCATGTTGGAGGATATCAGGGTATATTTGATGAGGAGAATTGTGGCCTGTAGAGAGTCTTGTGATAGGTGGACAACAGCAGTTGGACCTAGAATTCAGAAGATTTTGGACAAAAATGGTAAACTTGCAAGGTTTGAGTGGGCTGAGTACGCAGGCAATGAAAAGTTCCAAGTTCGCCACAATGCCGGGATTGTGCTACATGCTGTGGATTTAAGGGCACGAACTTGTACATGCCGTGGTTGGCAATTATCAGGAATTGCATGTAGCCATGTCATTGCCTCAATTGTATCTAGAGGCTTGAACGTGTTAGAGTTCGTGGATGACATCTATAAGAAGGATGCATACATAAAAACATATACGCCATCAATTTCTCCCATCACAGGTCCAGACGCATGGCCTACCCCAGGTTTGAACCCTCTCACTCCACCGGTATACACGAAGAGGCCTGGGAGGCCAAAGAAAAATAGAAGAAAAGAGCCGAATGAGGTGGCTTCTTCAAGTCAGCCGAAGAGGTCCAGTCAGTCCAAGAGAAATGTCAATACTTCACAATCAACTTCAGGAACAACAGAAGGTCAACGAAAAAGATCGGGGCTAATAATGACATGTACGAAGTGCGGTGAAGCAGGACACAATAGGAGAGGCTGCAAAGGGGCACCACCTCCAGCACCTTGTTAGGATGAAGCTGTCTGGGGTCTGCCAAGTTCACTTATTAATTTTTTGGCTTTTGTCTTTCTTATTTAGTGCACAAACTGTCTGCTTGTAGTGGATATAATATAGCACTTTGGGAACCTTTTTTGGTGTTTATATACTGGGAGAATGTAGCAAGTTCAGGAATTATGTTTCTGTCACAGTGGATATTTGGCACAGTTGAAATGAATTGTATCTATTTTTGCTTCAATTTTCAGTTATTTTTGCTTCAGCAGGTACTGGATATTTTTGTTTCAGTTTTCGATTGATTGGTGAATGAATTGTGTTTCAAATTCTGTAATAAAATTGTGTATTTAGGGACTTTTGAATTGGTGTGTATCAACAGGTGGTATATGGAAGAAAACAGGGAATTCTCTCGCCAAATTTTTTTTAAAAGTCAGGGACGTTATTCGCAAGTATTTCTAAAAAGTAGGGACGTTATTATCAAATATTTCTAAAAGGTAGGGACTTTACTCGCAAAATTTTTTATAGGTAGGGATGTTTTAAGCCAAAATTTAACTACGTAGGGATTATTAGCACAAGGTTCATTCGATTCCGAACAGGACCCATTCATCTTCTCCAATGAGCTAAAATGGGTCATTCACCATTGAACTGATACATAGAACCAATACATACTTCACAGCACCCATTTTCACTCGATCTCCTCAATTTATCCCATGGTCACAATAAGCATAAACTAGAAATAAATATCAAGCAATCATCTCTATAAATTCACCAACCATTCAATATATTTCTTACTACATCTTTCCAGAAACCTAACATATAAGCAGTAGTGATGGTCGGAATTAATCTGTGATTAGTTCTTTAATTAACAACATTTTTTTTCCTTATTTAATGTAATAATTTAAAGTATTTTCACACCCATTTTCACACCCATTTTTCAGCAACTGTTATATATATGGACTACGTAGAAGGCGGGAATGAGGGGTTTTGTTGGGTGAGACGGTTTTACCCCTGCTGACTGGACAAAAAATGACTCTCTCTCTTTAATTAACGGCAAAATGGATGGAACTTGGACGGAAGGACCTTCACCGCAACGAAAGGTTGATTTGAGGGCAAAAATGCCAAAAAATGAAAGGTAAGGACGTTTTCCACAATGAAACTTAAAGGTAGGGACGTTTTTCGCCAATTACCCTAAAAAAAACACTATTTCAACCATTAAAATTTGGTAAGAATGGAGGCCAAACAGGGGCAATTATATCTGCACTAGGGATGGACCCGAATATAGCCCGACCCAACCCCTCCTCTATCCGCCCTTATAGGATCATTCCAGTTTGTAAATATTGCAACTCTTCAAAGATACATATCTTGATGATTTACTCACACGAATTTTGAGGGTTTCTTTCATTTCTCATGGCATGCTTGAAGGTGTTGCTTGCTCAATGTAAAAGTTAAGAATGATATGTTCCATCGTGTTTTAGAGTATATGTTTGGCAAGGATTTGAAAGTAATAAAAAGTTATATCAATTTTTATCTACATATTTCGTGGAACTCACAACTACTACACATTTATCCACCATTCATTCTCTCTCTCTCTCTCTCTCTCTCTCTCTCTCTCTCTCTCTCTCTATATATATATATATATAAGCAAAATCATTTATAAAAACTTCTCAAACCAACTCTAAATGTAAAAACTTCGTATTTTAAGTACAATTTTTATTGAATTATAATTATTTAAATAGTAATATCAACATTTTTACATAATCACATGCACATCGCAACACACTAGTATACTAGAAGTTAAGTGAACTTTGTTCTACATATTTTTTGGTTCTCCTTATGACTAAAATAAATAACCAACCAAACATTCTCATGTTTTGACCAACCTTATAATCTACTAATAAAGATAAAACTTTTATGAAAAAGTACATAAAAGCATACTTTAAAAAAAAAAATTAAAAAAAATATAACTCTTTTACCTAGTCAAATATCTTATTCATTTTTATTTTTTTTTGGAATAATCTGACCTCCAAACCACGTTTCATATTAATTACAAGAGTTGCTGTTTAGAGCCTGTTTGGGAGTGATTTTTTCTTCTAAAAAATTGATTTTTTGATCGTTATTTTACTATTTCAACCGTCATATTTGACTTATTCTCTCACAAGTGGACCCTACTTTTCTCCTAACGATCAAAAAATTAATTCTCAAAATTACTTCCAAACAGGCTCTTAGTAACATTGAATGATAAATACAATTAAATTAGTCATTTGATTTCATCTTTCATTTAATTTATCACTAAACACCACATGTTATGGAATTATATTCCCAGTGAGACTAAATAACATTACTATAAGAATATCATTATAATGATGGAACGTCGATGATGTGGCCACTTAGAATTCCACCACTTGAACCCAACCAGTAATTACTCGATCTACCTGCCCTAATACACGCCTCAAAATCTTCACTACTTTCTACATAACCATTTCTTGCGAACCTACCAACCATAAAACTATCCTTCGGGGAAAAAAAACACCTTATAAATATTAGCTAGAAATTTCAATCAGACGAAGCTCAAAAGAAATTCGACTAACTTCTTATTAAAAGCGCCTTTTTTTTTTCTTTTGTAAACGTATTATGAATATTGAATTACACTCTCATTTAGTCAAATTAAAAAAATAAAATTGAATCCCTTGGAAAGCTAATTTGCCCTTTACATCTAAGCTCTGGACATGATTCTTGATAATCCATACTCTAATTTGAGATAGAGAATAAGCATTTTGAAAATTTTGTGAACAAGAATTTCAATACAGTTGCAAAAAAATTGAAGGATACTAACCATTACTTAGTAGTTGATAAAAATAATTGTTTCCCATTTATGAAAATCGTGTATCCTACTTGATGATTCCGGGATTGGAAACCCCGAACTCTCCCTGAGTCCGTGTACCATGCTCGACCTCGACCTAATACCCCGAGTTGATCTTGGTGAGTTGGGCCTGTTTGAGGTCGGGGTCTACTCCAAGGTCGGGTTTCTTTCCCAATGCTGCCCACCGACTTAATCTCCAAAAGAAAATAGACCCCACCTAAATCTGCTCCTCCCCTGATTAGAACTCTAACAGAATACTTCTAATCACACTCCAACACCTAATCCTAAGGGGGAAAGGACTCTTTCAATAATAAAATCCTTCTACAGCTCCCCCACCAACACCTATAAATACTTGGCCAAAGCTCAACACAAAGGTACATTTTTCATTATCTTCAGTTTATAGCCTCACGCACTAAATTCCCTATCTGACTTAAGTATCGGAGGGGCGACGAGCACACACCTCGTTGCCTTTGTTGCAGGTAATCACAGACCGGTCGTATTCATCAAAGTGAAGTTGGACCATCAAGTTCGAGATCTTTCAGGTGACATTTTTTGGTAGCATCATTGGCGCCGTCTGTGGGAAGCGCTACCAAAAGCCATGGTGAATACACGATCGGGTCTTCCACCAGCAAGATCATCCGCTCCAAATCCTCCCCCTGGAGATCACCCTATCCCTTAAGAGGAATCATCAGAGATGGCGGCACCGCCACCAGCTGTCATTACCACCGGAGCTTTTGAAGAGCTCCGCCAACAAGTTACTACATTAACTCAGTTATTAAGCCAAAGAAACTCACACCCATCACATACACCAACACCGGATGGCGATCTTATGGCAGCCGCTCAAGCTCGAGCTCCACGAAACATCCCTGATAATGGTGTTGGAACCTCGGGTGTACCTCCTATGACCGCAGCATCAAGGGCAGTAACGATAGAATCAGGGGAGCTTGCCAGAATCATCCAAGAAGGTATTGCCGCGGGCCTAGCACAAAAATCAAAGGGGACAACAGGCTTTACCCCTAGCACCCCCTTTACTCCTGAAGTACTGTCCTACCCCCTTCCAGATAGGTTCAAGTAACCCAGGATAAAGGAGTATGATGGAACCACTGACCCTATCAACCACCTCAATATATATACCGATATTATGAACCTACAGGTCGCACCTGATGTTGTAATGTGCAAAGCCTTCCCTCAAACTCTTACAAGCGCAGCTAGAGATTAGTTCTCCACATTAGAGCCAAATTCTATCGCCTCATTCGCAGACTTGGTCGATAAATTCTCTGCTTTCTTCGCAAGCATCAAGAGAATTAGGAAAACAACGGCATCACTTATGCAGATGCGCCAGGGACCCAATGAAACATTACGCAATTTCATGACTAGATTCAATAAAGAAAGACTTCATATTCCCGATCTACATATTACAGCTGCGGTCTTAGCTTTGACATACGCTATAAGATGTGAAGCATTCAAGATGTCTTTGTCGAAAACCCCCCCCCCCCCCCCCCCCGACCTCCTAACTCGAGCTGAGAAATACATCAATATGGAAGAAACTCTAACCCCAAGAAAGGACGTTTCACCTTTGATAAGGCCAGACAATAAGAGACCACGTGAACCCAATCAACGAGACGACAATCCTCGGGTCAAGCAAAAACAAAACCCCCGACAGGAAACTTTTACTCCCCTGAATACGTCAAGGTCCAACATCCTGATGGAGATCAAGGACCTCAAAGAGCTTAAGTGGCCTCCCAGAATGCGATCATTACCTGAAAACAGAGACAGAACCAAGTACTGTGACTTCCACCGAGACCACGGACATACCACTGAAGGGTGCTTGGCTCTGAAGCAGCAAATTGAGGCCCTCATCAGGAGGGGTTTTTTGGGCTCTTACACTAGCCATGAAAAACGCCCGAGGAACAAGCAGGATAACATACATGAGGGGCATAGTAGTGAACCACCAACAGCTGGCACTATTAACGTTATTATCGGAGGAACAGCTTCAGGGGGACACACCAACAATGGACGTAAGAAGTACGCCAAACAGCTTCCAGTCTCTCCTGGCACGGATCTTGCTCATACGGAATATATCACCTTCGGGTCCAAGGATTTGGAAGGAATATCCTTCCCCCATGATGACGCCCTAGTCATATCAGCCATCATAGCTAACTTCGAGGCCAAGAGAATTCTTGTGGATAATGGAAGTGCAGCTAATGTACTGTCTCATGAAGCTTTAGTTCAGATGGGTATCTCAGTGGAACAACTCAAGCCTGTTAAAACACCCCTACAAGGATTTGGTGGCGGGGTCATCACCCCTGAAGGTATTGTTGAATTACCCATGACTTTGGGATCTGAAGGTCGGCAGGTAACCCATATAGTAACTTTCGAAGTTGTCTGAATTTCGATGGCCTATAACGCCATTCTGGGAAGACCGTTGCTAAATAAAATCAGAGCTGTTATCTCAACTTTTCACCTGGCGATGAAGTTCCCCACATATAGTGGAGTTGGGGTCGTCCGAGGAAGCCAAACCATGGCTCGCCAGTGTTATGCGACCAGTGTCCGAAAAATAAAGGGCGACGTCATGCAGCTTACAGAGCTCGAGCTCGAGCTTGAAAATCGTGGGAGACTCGCCCCGGTAGAGAAGCTGGTCGAGGTCGAGCTCGTGCCTGGTAGGAAGGTGACAGTAGGGCGTGACCTTGATTCAACCATCATGGCTAAACTCATAAGTTGTCTCTCCCAGAACCAAGACATATTCGCATGGACAGTTGAAGACATGCCCGGAATTGACCCCGAGGTTGCCGTACACCGGCTCAATGTAAACCCAGGAGCCAAACCTGTCAAACAAAGGAAAAGACAGTTTGCGCCTGAACGGCGCGAAGTCATACAAGAAGAGATTGCCAAGCTGCTCAATGCACAATTCATCTTAGAAGTACAATATCCTGACTGGCTTGCCAATGTAGTTCTCGTAAAAAAGGCCAATGGAAAGTGGCGAGTTTGCATTGACTTCACTGATTTGAACAAAGCATGTTCGAAAGATAGCTATCCCCTACCTCGGATTGACAGTCTCGTTGACAGCACTTCGGGTCACAAATTGTACAGCTTTTTGGACGCATTCTCAGGGTACCACCAAATACCAATGGCCGCAGAAGATCAAGAGAAGACCTCATTCATGGCAGACTCCGCCATCTACTATTATAAGGCCATGCCATTCGGCTTAAAGAACGCAGGGGCTACATATCAGAAGCTAATCAACAAGGTCTTTGCTGATTTAATTGGGAAAACAATTGAGGCTTATGTAGATGACATGGTGGTCAAAAGTAAACAGGTGGATGATCATATCACCGATCTTGAAGAAGTGTTTTCCACGCTACGAAAATACAACATGAAGCTCAACCCAACAAAATGTGCCTTTGGGGTAGCATCAGGAAAGTTTCTAGGTTTCATGATCACAAATAGAGGAATAGAAGCCAACCCTGACAAGATCCAAGCCCTGATATCTATGGAAGCCCCAAAGAGCGAAAGGGACATCCAAAAGCTTACAGGTCGGGTAGCAGCATTGAACAGATTTGTCTCTCGGGCAACAGATAAATGTTTTCCTTTTTTCAAAGTTCTAAGAGGCCACAATAGTTTTGAATGGAATGACGAATGCGATCTAGCCTTCCAACAACTTAAGCAAACTTTAGCTGTACCTCCAGTTCTTGCCAAACCAGAGCCTGGTGATACTTTGTTCCTTTACTTAGCTGTTTCTCAAAATGCCGTAAGTGGGGTACTAGTAGAGGAAAAAGGAAAGGTGCAACAACCCATCTACTATGTCAGTAAAGTACTTCTTGACACAGAAACTCGGTATAATCTTGCGGAACAGTTAGCTCTTGCTTTGATAGTAACTGCTAGAAAGTTGCGACAATATTTCCAATCTCACCCTATAATAGTTCTCACCAATCAACCACTTAAGCACATACTTCAGAGACCAGATGTCTCAGGAAGGCTATTAAAATGGGCGATCGAGCTTGGCGAGTTCGACATAGAATTCAAGCCTCGACCTTCCATCAAAACGCAGGCACTGGCCGACTTCATAGCTGAACTCACTCCAAAGACAAAAAGGCCAGAAGTAAACCCGAGCACGACCTCAAAAACCTGGGAGATATTTGTTGACGGTGCATCGAATAGCTCGGGCTCAGGGCCGGGATAATCATCATCAGCCCGAACAAAACCACTGAAGTTCAATGTGCGCTTAGGTTTGAGTTTGAAGCAACCAACAACGAAGCGGAATATGAAGCTGTGGTCATTGCTCTGGAACTTGCCAGGAATTTGGAATTAGAGCACATCAGAGTCTTCAGCGACTCACAGCTCGTTGTTGGACAGATTGAAGGATCCTTTGAAAGAAAAGATGAAAAGATGAGCTCATACTGTCTAAAAGTGCATGACCTTCAAAGGCAGTTCACAAGTTGTGAAATATTGAAAATAGCAAGGGCAGATAACTCCAAAGCTGATGCACTATCTAGACTTGTTTTCATGAGGATAGATGGACTCGACAGAACAGTGCACATCAAGATTGTCACAGAGCCTAGCATAAACATGAAGCCGAGCGTCATGGACATTGACCATGAGCCCTCCTGGATTGATCCAATAGTTGAGTATATAAGTAATGGAGACCTACCTCCTGACCCTCGAGCCGCAAGAAGTATTCGAGCCAAAGCTGCTAGGTATTGCATGATCAGAGGGGTGCTGTTTCGACGAAGCCTCACGCTCCCCTATCTGAGATGCTTTAAGCCTTCCGAATCTCTCCAAGCCCTGACTGAGGTTCACGAGGGAGTATGCGGAAATCACCAAGGAGCCAGGGCTCTTGCCTACAAATTAATAAGGTATGGATACTACTGGCCAACTATGAAAAAAGATGCAGCTGAATACGTTAAAAGATGCGACAAATGTCAGAGGTTTGGTAATGCTATACATGCCCCTGCAGAAGAGTTGACCTCTATCCATTATTCAGCACCATTTGAACAATGGGGAGTCGACATTCTTGGTCCTTTCCCCATGGCCCGAAGACAATTAAAATTTACTGTGGTAGCAGTTGAATACTTCACAAAGTGGGTAGAAGCCGAACCCCTAGCAAAAATATCAGAGGCCAAGCTCAGATCATTTATATGGAAGTCTATTGTATGTAGGTTCGGAATACCCAAAGTACTTATAACAGACAATGGAAGACAGTTCGACAATTCACAATTCAGAAACTTTTGTGTCAATCTCGATATCGACCATCGACTGACGTCAGTATCGCACCCTCAAAGCAATGGCCTCGCTGAGGTGACAAATAGAATCATACTTCAGGACCTTCGCACCAGAATTGGAAATGCAAGAGGTGACTGGCCCGATGAGTTGCCCTCTATATTATGGGCATATAGAACTTCTCATAAAACAGCAACGGGCGAGACTCCCTTCATGTTAGCTTTTGGCTTGGAGGCCACTATCCCCATCGAAGTCAGTCTCCCCACTTTAAGGAGGGTTCAACCCGGCATGGAAGACCGAACAACCAAACATTTTGACTTGCTGGAAGAAGTAAGAGAGTAAGCTTCACTAAGAGCTGCTAGTTACCAAAATAAAACGGCAAAGTATTTCAACACCAAAGTCAAGACCCGAGAATTTAAGAGTGTCGATTTGGTTCTAAGAAAAGCAGAGGCTGCTGGACACCCTCCAGGTAAACTTGGACCAGTGTGGGAAGGGCCATTCGAAGTCATACGAAGGATCAAAAGAGGAGCATACAGCCTTAGAGATACTTTAGGAAATCCACTCCCAAGGCCTTGGAACGTGGATAACCTAAAAATATATTACAAGTAGAATAGCAATAGCATCACACAAGGGCTTGCACGCCCGCCTTATTTGCTTTCAAGTAGCTCGGGGATACGAACCCTTGGGCATTTTTTTCTCTTTCAAGTAGCTCGGGGCTATGAACCCTTGGGCATGTTTTCTTTCAAGTAGCTCAGGGCTATGAACCCTAGAGCATTTTTTGCTTTCAAGTAGCTCGGGCTAAGTACCCTTGAGCACCTAATAATATTCAAAGTTTTCTTTTCCTAGCACTACTTAAACATTGGCATAATGACGTGCTTCGGGCGTGCAGCCACTTTAACATTAGTGTAATGACGTGCTACGGGCATGCAACTAATAACTTTGGCATAATGACGTGCTTCGGGCATGCAGCCACTTTAACATTAGTGTAATGACGTGCTTCGGGCATGCAACTAAACTCTAGCGTGATGACATACGGGCATACCGTAGCTCGAGGTTACGAACCCCGAACTTCTTCTCATCTAAAGTCAGTAATGGATAAGTTCGGGGTCGGGCAAGTTGACATGACAAAAGTCAGACACAACCTAGAACTCATCATCTAAACTGACTTTCAGGCCCTAAAGTTCGACATCGACGACTACATCAAGAATCGAGCTGAGACATGCCTGGTGTTTAAGGTCGAAATGTTGATCGAATTTAACCCCGTGTCACAAAACACCCCGAGCTAGAAAAGGCCCTAGTTATTACAAACTAAAAAGCTCGAACTCATCATCTGGTTCGACCTATGGGTCTAACGACAACATCAAGGATCGAGCTCGTGCAGGCTTGACGTTCAACATATGTGCACGAACATTCATCAAGTAAAGTGCACGAACATTAATCAATCATTAAATCAAAACGTAGTATGCACGAACATTCAACAAGTAAAGTGCATGAACATTAATCATTAAATCAAAAAAAACAAGTGCTCGACCATTGATCAATGAAATAGGAAAAGTATCAGCCCAGTTCGTGCAACATTACAAAAAAATTTTAAAAACCTAATCGATATCTACAACCTTGACTTCATCCCCTTGATCGCCATCCTCGGCGTCATCTCCATCACCGTCATCATCATCTTCACCATCGTCCTCGACCTCAGAAGCCGAAAGTTCGAGCTTTCCTGCGAGCTCGTTCACCGTCTTCAAGTCCTCGACGAGAGACTTCAAGTCCTCAGGCATCTTCGTGCGAAGATAAGAGCGGGCAAGGTGAAGCCCGTAATGGTAAGAGCCCGACCCGTACTGTCCCAGCAGGGTCCCAAACTCGTCAGACTTCTTGAAGTCTTCAACAGCCTGAGCTCGAGCCTCCTCACGAGCCTTTGCGAGCTCTTCGCCGAAGCTCCTCTGGGACTGGAGAAGCTCGAGCTTAACTTCCTCGACTTCAGCCTTGGATGTCTCCAGCTCCTCTCGGGACTTCTTGAGGTCAGCCTCAGTAATCTTAAGAGCTTTTTCCAAGTCACGAGCTCGCTTTTCAGCTCACTCCTTTTCCTTTAATACCTCGTCCATTTCGTTCGAGATATTGATGCCATTTAAGGTAAGACCCCGAGCCACGCTCAGCGTCTGCACAAAGAAAGAAAGAAAACCCGAAGTCAGTTCGATCAAAGAAGATCAAAATAAAAAATACAGTTAAGGTCAGTATCTTACCCTTAAGGTCAAAGCCTCCAGTGTCTTGACCCCTTCATTGATGTTGACGTCCTTCTCGAACCTTTCAACAAGGTCCTTCACCAGGACACACTCTGTGTATTCCTCGAGGGCACTATCTGAGATAGGCTCGAAGCCTGAATCCGCAACGCCATAACAGCCTCAAGCTCGATCTTCATATTTCGTCTTCGGACGAGGCGTTGAGGTCGGGCTCCTTGACGTCGAGGGTTGACCTCTACGAGGCACCGAGCTCTCAAGAGGAACCTCAGGAACCCTAACATCGGCGTGCCTGGCCCTCTTCTTTCCCTTTTTTGAGGCCGGGGCTTTGGACATCGGCCCCTTGGCCTTATGGTGGACATTGGCCAATAGTTTAGACGGATCAAAAGACATCTCAGGATCTGCAAGAAACAAATCAGAAGACATTAGCACGAACTCGATGTCATGAATACAACAATAGAGCTTAAAAAGTAAAAAACATACCTTCGAGGCCTTTTACATTTGCAAGGTCGAGGGTGTCATCCTCGAGCAAATAATCAATCTTCTCTGCCAAAGGGTCGTGGTTAACTAACCTTAATCTGTCCCTCTCTAGAACCTCAAAATATGCCTGAGCCTCATTAAATCGATCCTTACTAGGGATCTCCCACCTCGGGCTAAAGGGATGGTCGAGATCCTGGGGCTTTACAAAGAAAAATCTCTCCTTCCAATCAGGCGTTCTAAACCCCCCCTTTGTTGACAAATACACAAAACAGTTGAACCCCGACGAATACTTCATATCATACACCATCCTCAGAAGGTCGACCATAGGCTCGATATCGAGGCATCTACATAATATAAAGAAGTAGACCAAAAGCCTCCAACCGTTAGGAGCTAACTGACCCGGACACATATAGAACGAAGTTAGGAAGTGGATAAAAAAGGGGTGAAGAGGCCACCGCATCCCAGCCTTAAGGGCATCCCTGAAAAACGTCATCTTCCCCTCTCGAGCTCCTAATATACCTTCAGTATTTTCAGGAACCCTAACATCACAAATGGGCATCACCCCGAACTCTCTAGCTATCTTAATAATTACATGTTCTTTATAAATGGTCGGGTTCTTTGGGTAAGTCAATGCCTCTCCTGGAGAGTGCGAGCTAACAGAAAAGGCCAGGGTGACAAGATCTCGACCTTGATCACCTGGAGCCTCGACAGCTATACTAGGGGCAGTAGAGTTCTCATTATCCCCCGAACTCTTAGAAAGCCTACTACTGTCACTATTACTCGACCCCCTACTGCTATTACTACCACTACTGCTACTACTCGACATTACTTTACTCAAATAATTAACGACTTAAAGGCTCGAACTCTTACCTTAATGGAGATCGCTCACAACCCACTATCCCCGAACTCGAGCTTCTTTTACAGAGAGTGGAGAGTAAAAAGTGAAAATGAATAGTAGGGTATTTATAAGGGTCATGGGCATACCAACAGTCACTTAATCTAAAACCCTTAAAAAGGACACGTGGCAAAGATCCAAGTTCGAGCTCTGACAACCAGCCACATGACAAACACGTGACATTGTATATGTCCAACAGGTAATTGACAGGTGTCGAGGTCGATATCAAGCCACGACATCCTTTTTGCATCTTAATCTAAGATCGTTTACCTTTCACGATCTACAACTCAGATACACGGGGGCCTATGATGATTCTGGGATTGGAAACCCCGAACTCTCCCTGAGTCCGTGCACCATGCTCGACCTCGACCTAATACCCTGAGTTGATCTTGGTGAGTTGGGCCTGTTTGAGGTCGGGGTTTACTCCAAGGTCGGGTTTCTTTCCCAATGCTGCCCACCGACTTAATTTCCAAAAGAAAATAGACTCCACCTAAGTCTACTCCTCCCCTGATTAGAACTCTAACATAATACTTCTAATCACACTCCAACACCTAATCCTAAGGGGGAAAGAACTCTTTCAATAATAGAATCCTTCTACAGCTCCCCCACCAACACCTATAAATACTTGGCCAAAGCTCAACACAAAAGTACGTTTTTCATTATCTTCAGTTTATAGCATCACGCACTAAATTCCCTATCTGACTTAAGCATCGAAGGGACGACGAGCACACACCTCGTTGCCTTTGTTACAAGTAATCACAGACCGGTCGTATTCATCAAAGTGAAGTTAGACCATCAAGTTCGAGATCTTTCAAGTGACATTTTTTGGTAGCATCACTACTCTTGATAAAAAATAAATCTAAATTGCACGCAAAGAGTGAGTCTAAGACGAAATTTCATAAATATGGTTCAACAACACGATTCAACATAAACTGCTAGGGGTGTGGTAATTTCATCTTGGCACCTTTGCACAAGGAAGAACATCCTGAAACGACACCACAAGTTTCACCCTTCATAATAGGTGTTACAAAAGGCAAATGCATGAAATTTTAAATGCAAAACATATGAATGACAAGGAATCGTATCAGTACATGTTAATTTTACACGTATCTCGATGTCATCAAGTGGAAACCTTGGTAGCAGACATTTCTTGGTCCTCGAAACAAGAGGGGGAAAAAAACATCATGTGCAGTTTCTAAATCCTCAAAGCACCTTGAGAATTGAAGTCCTCACCGAGTTCTTACATTGGGATTAAATGTGAGTGAAATTTAAATCTGTCTCATCGATTTCTTGGGAAAACGTGTCCCATGAATCTGGCAGAAAATTAGCCATCACTTGTCAATGAGAAGGCAAGAAGAACAATACCAAGTGTAAAGAAGATTGTAGCAGCAGCAAACAACCACAAAACCCGACTTTTAGGTCTCTGGCTCACTTGACCACTAAACTCCACCTCTTCCAGAAGTTCTCGCACTCGATCCATGTCAGAGTCTTTGGCAGCTTGTATTAGTCGATTTTGAATTTTGTCGAGCTTTTTCAGCCTCCTATATTTGGAGGCATCTTTGATTGGCCAGAAAAGACCCGTCATTTTCCATAGAAAGATGCCCATGTAGATGGCTACAAGACAATCCACACTATAATGGTGCCGTTCTCTAATTTCTCTTTGGGCACTGTGCAGTACAAGAACCCAGATAACAGCTGAGCTTAAACCTCCGTAAGCTTCCTGCATTATTTATCAAAGGAGAAAAGTCAAATGAATTACAGATTATTACTGAAACTTCAAAGAGTTGCTACTACATAAATGGAGAACAATTTTGGCAGGTGTATTAGGAAGGATTTGATATTTCAGCATATTAAGAAAGAAAAATAAGCTAAAATTTGCTCATTATACTATCTAATCCAATCCAGCACTGAGTATCAAACAAAACATGCAGTGCATTCGATACATACTGTCCATGCCATAGCTGTCAAAACTGCAACAAGCATGTGGCCACTGTATAGGAGGTCATTGCACCCACCCCCAGCTTTTTTTAGCAGATGGTACCACGGAGATGATCCTTCAGAAGCTGTAGGTCGTAGAAAATTAGCGAGAAAGCTCATAGAACCCCAATCTGGTTGGAAGTCGACATTGTACTCCGCTGGATCTGCTGAAAGAGGATGAAGAATCTTGTAAACAACAAAATGATCTCAATAAGTCTACGTAAACTGCTAAACTTGACTCCCCCAAAAGGCCAGAAGAAACAAACGACCCAAGTGAGGAAGTTCCAGAAAGAGTAGTGGATAGAAGGTATTAAAGATTAAACAACATATGATTCCTAATAATTAGACTTAATAGAAGAAAACAAAAGAAATGTAACCAAGGAAATACCATAAGCAATATCATGATGAATGATATGGCGTATAGCATTAGAATCTGTAGCATATGGAACATAATATTTCTGAGCCCAAGGATGAGGGTATGGAGGGACTTGGAACCGAGCAGAAGCACACCAAGGACGTGGTGATGGCAAAATTGTAGACACAAACGCTATGGCCCGAAGAAGCCGTCCAATACCCATCGTGAACATGTATCTTGCACCCAGCCCCAGACCAGGAGCTTCAACCGAGTCAAATAATACGGAGAAGCCAAGCATTATAAACAACATCAGGAAATGGTGCAACCCGATAACACGAGATCTCAGTATATTGACTACTGTTTGAGGCAGTTTCTCATTCAATCCCAGCAGCAACCACTGGCCAACATCAGGAAGAGGCGATTGAGCACTGTCAAACATTAGCAAGCCTATTATACACCCAGTGACAAAAAGTTTTTGTTAGTGATGAAGTTTAGGAAAGTAGTGATAATTATGACATTTTGTTAACAAAGGTTTCCTAGAGCATAGTAAGAACAATGATGGTATTTGTATATCATCTATCACACAACTGTCATCAAGAACTTGAAATTTAGAAAGAGTGTCAATAAATCTCAAAGTTAATGTAATTGAAACAACTAAAAGTGGATTGATGCCTTCGATAGATCCCTTCAAGTTAGTGCCTCTTCACTATTTGTTAGAATTGATTATCCAATAATTATTTCACTTCTTTTCTTGGTGGCCTAAGGTTTATTTGTTGATCCACACAGCATTTTTAATTTTTAAGCATCACAACAATTTCAAAGATGGAAAACACAGCAACCTAAGTCAAGTTGTTAGCATCCATTCTTCTTTTTGTGAGTATATCCAAACATATATACAACAAACAATTCGCCCAAAAAGAAAACTTTAGGCAAACCCGAAAATGGGGTATATTCTACTTGTCAAAAATAGCAAAGAGATATAAAAAATTAAAAAAAAAATTAAAAATTAAAAAAAAACCCTTTGTATAAGCAATTAACTAAGTCAAAAATCCTTTTCAAGGAAAACATTAACTGCTTTCTATAGATAAAGTCTAGATGCGTTATATATCTAGTACTACCCAAAAATGCTCTCCTTTTTCAGCTTGAGATCTTGACATAATTAGGAAATTCAGGTTTGCTATCATGATTCTGTTTAAGGTCGCTTACAATTCTACTGATATAAAGTGGATTTACCAAAATTGAAATCACGCCTAATTAAGTCAAACCCAGATCATTAATTATACATATTCAATTTTCAAATCCCATAGAAGCACACTGTAAATGTAGTTTACAAAATCCCAATTCAAATTACACTTAATAAAGGCAGATCTTAATAATACATATTGAAAGATTCAATATGCAAAAACCCGTAACAGAGTAGATGCAAATTTAAAAAATCCCAGTCCAAATAGTAATAAATTAAGTCAAACCCAGATCATTGATCATCCATATTAATCTCAGATTCAATTTTCAAAATCCCGTTATCCCACAACAGATTACACTTAAACCTATACATAAACAGGCACATTCTCTCACTCACTGACAAACACACAAATGGTTCACAACCTCAAACCCGCTAGAATGATAGAATTCCAGTCCCTTAACCTAAACGAGCAAAAATCGTCTAAGAATTTAGCGAAAAGCAGTCCGAAAAATCCAGAAGCAGCAAGCATAAATTTTCCTTTTAGGATACGCGTACATAATTGTCGAATACGTACTTGTGCCAGTCGAGACCAAGTACAGCAGTGACGGACCGAACAGAAATGGCTTCGAAGAGGAGAGCAGAGAGCATGAAGAGCATGGAGAATATGAAGGGAAGAGCTGAGCGGAGCTCCAAGGACCAGTGCCTGTAGAAGGGAACGCGAACAATGACAGCGACGGCCAGGACGACCCAGAGAGCGGGCTGCAGTCGCTCGTGCCACGCCGGTGAAAGGTGGCGGAGGTAATCTATGCTTACGTACGCGATGGCCGCCAGGCCCAGTCCGCCACCTCCGTCGAGGCGCCGCCGTGAACTCGACGGTGGATGCATTTTTATGGTAGTTGGAGTGGTGCGAGTCCCGGATCGGTGACTGATAAAAGGAAAGTGTAGCTACGAAAGAGTCAAAATTAAAATTATTATTTTTTCTTTATTTTTTTAATTTTTATATATAAATATCTATTGTATCTTGACTTCATGTACCAAACATTTCTATATCGCTGCATCCGATATTTTTGTTCCGACACTGTGATGAAATCTTATTTTCTTATTTTAAATCTTTTTGTACTTTTAAGTTAAAATTTTGAAATTATTATTGAGATAAATTATTTATATATTTTTTAGTGATTAAAGTTTTCACATTAGGAAACTTTCGCATATTTTTCATGAAAATTGCTAAGTTTACACCCTTTGGTGTACACCATAACCGATAGCTCAGCATCTCTCATTTTTCATTTTAGCTATACTTTCTCAGGTCATCACAACTTGAAATTTTGTTTTGATATCAAGCATACTCTGACTTTAAAATCATGATCGAGTGTTAATTAGACGTGTCAAAGTGTGTCTGAATAAACAGGGGTAGAGCCGTATACAGATGAGTGTAGGCCAATGCATGCACTCAACTTTGGGTTGCCGCTACCCAAGTTAAAGAATTTCGTAAGAAATAGTGGTTGGGGTAAAATTGTACATTGTTATTCTACAGATTTTTGGGAGAAATGGTTAGTGAGAGAAAAATGGACTGGTGGAAAAAAAATAAGTGGAAGTGAAGTATTTTTCACTGTGTAGAATATTAAATTATTGAATTCGCAAGTGTGTTTTGTCATAAAATTTGTTGTACAAGTCACTTTGTTATAAAGATAATTTTTTTACACTTCAAATTTAGCCATAAATTTTGCCTGCACTGAAAATATTTTCTGGCTCCACCCCTGTGAATAAAGACATTCTCATGCACAAGTCAGAAACACGATATATTGAAGAGACAAAGTTAATTGTGTTGTATTATAAATGTGTAGCTTGAAATATCCTTTTTTTTTTTTTTTTAATTGATTTTGATGTTTTCAAATTCATTTTTTCATCAGATTTATTCTCAACTACATACTCCCGATAAAATAAATTTGAACTTGAAATTATAATTTTTTTCTTATTTTTTAAACGCACATCCTCTGAAAAAAATTATTTCTCAAAATATAAAAATCAAATGAGGGCTTAAATTTTTTGGTTGAAATAAGAAAGGGGAGTGTTAAGCCTTTTATCATCTCAATGTCAAGCTATTTTTTCCACAATGAATGTTACAGAGTTTAGCCCAAGTCCCCACCATCGCACAGGAGAATATCTCTCAAATTATTATTTTTTTATCAGTAAATGTAAAATCTATTGATGATAACCAATATCACTTTCTATGACAGTATAATGATTTTTAGTATTTTACCTATCTTGAAGAGCATGACCTATATTCGGTAAGGTGCACATATTTCTCCTTCAAGGCTGTCTCTTAAACTCCTCACGTCCTTTCTATATTTAACAATTATTTGGTCCCTATTTTTAAGAAGTTATTTTTCATGATAATTTTGCACGTGAATACATAACTTTTTCATACTTTTTAACAATGAATTCTTAAAAAATGAATTTTTTTTTCGGCAAAATAAATTCTCAACAGATCAGGGGCTTAATCTTTGAGTCTAATCCATTCCAAATTCGAAACTGATCTTTGAGAAAATTAAAGGAAACTATGGATTTAAGATTACATTATCATTAATCAGGTCCTAACTAATTTTATTCAAAAATCAGGTGTTAATTATATTTATATTATATAAAAAATACATTTTAATATTATTAAAATTATATTATAAAACAAGGTATGCTGAGTAATTAACCTGGATTTGTAGGTTCATTAACTGATTTCAAAAACTTAAAAACGTGCAGAGAGAACGAAATCCAGTTTACAATCTTCAGTATATTCGTGAAACCTCGTGATAATTCCAGTGGGTTCATTGGGAATTGTATGGTGGGTTTATTGAGATCTTCAATGGTTTTGAATGTGAATTTGAAATGGACTCACGCTCAAACTCCATTTGTGTTCCAGTTTTCTCTTCTTCTTATACTAGTTTTCTGTTGACAATCAAGAGCACTGTCTCAGGGACGAAGGAATAACAAAATTATTGATTGATCATATGTGTTGGCCAAGATTTGTGGAGGAGGTTAAGGTGGTCATGTTGGTGGTGGAGTTTGACAACTTGGGCGGTGGTAGGAGTCTTCAAAGGAGGCGTGCCACGACTTGCAGCTACGAGCAACGTATCTTTTATGTGGTGGCGATGATGCAATGATGTCGGTGGTGGTGGTGGTGGTGGTTAGGATTTGTTGAAAGTATTGGTGGTGTGCATTTGGTTGACGTTGTTGGGAGTGGTGGTAGTGCCAAAGTAGTAGTAGCGATGAAAATCGAGTATGACCAAATCTATCTTCATTATGACTATTTGTGATCAGATCTATGATAATTGTGACTATATGTGACTTGATTACATACAATCACAAATTAAATTGATATGGTTATAGACAATCATACTAAAGATGAAGTTGCTCATAACTAGTTACAGATAATACAAGTTCGTGAATGTAGTAAAGTTGGAGGTAAAGGTAGTAATGATTAGTGGTGGATTGTGGTATTGATCTGCGGTGTTGAAGATTTGTTTGTGGTGACTTTTTGAAATCAAGTATGTGTTTATTGTGAAAATTGTGATCAATTCTGTATTAATTATGACAAATTTGACTTGATCACATACCGTCGCATTTAAAATTGACTTGGTCAGAGACACTTACATTAAATACAAATTCGGTCACAGTTAGCACGTTGAATACGAACTTGGTCACAATTAGTCACGAATAATACATGTCAAAGACTTGATTATATATGGTGACTTGAAATTTTTTTTGGATGGGTGTGGTAGGGGCGGAGATGGGGTAGGATATGATGTTTCGCGAGGTGAGTTGTAATCTCCAATTTTTTATTTTTGGAGGATGGAGATAATGTTGGGAATCTAGTTAATCATGCGCAGTGGAAATAAAATTCGATTTCGATTCTCACCAAGGATCTCTTTGTGTTTAGATAGAAATTGTACCTTTCATTGATTTTACGAACTCTTTTGTAATTCTTGCTTTAATTCTGCAAACTCCTTTACTATTCTTTCGTTCCAGCAACCTTAATCTGCCATCTGCAGTTGTCCAATTGTCCAGTCTTCAAAGGTGATCCACACAGAGAACAAGATTTTAGGATTAATGTTTTCTTCTTGTGCTAGTAAAAGGCATAATGAAAATCACTACTAATTGAAAACCCTAATCACTTATTTGTATAAGCTTAAATGGGCTTGGATCGACCCGGTCCAATATTTAATTAAATTCGATCCGTGAATTAATTAATTCAATTAATTAATTCGGACATATGAATAAGCAACCCAATTAATTAATTTGTCAAACACTTGTTAAATTAATTAATTGATAAATCACAATCTTTCAGTTTTCCTTTTGTGTACAACCCATTATGTTCCCGATCACGATGCCTAATGGCGTGAAATACTATTTTGATATAATCAAAATTAATAAATTGAAACAAATTTTTAATTTGTCACCAATTCACACTCGCCGCCCTAAATTGACATTTAGCAATATGTCAAGGCAATACATGTGACGAAAAATGTCATGTGGTATGACAAAACCAAACTCGTTAGTTTATTATGAAACTATAATCACTTTTTCAATATGATCTGATCAATGACGAGATATGGAAGTGTGTCAATCTCAATTATCAATCATATATTTCACTCTACTATTAAATCAATATAAGTTGAAAACTCCTTTTCAACTTATGAGTACACATTGGCCAAAGATTTCTTTATCGACTTAATTGAATGAAATGTAGATCATAATCTCTTACTATCTAAAAGTGACGAATCCTCTATTGGTCATTCACAACTTTCATACGATTCTTGACATACCCGAATGATACCGTATTAGCGACCCTTAGTAGAGCAACATTCAATACCATCAAAGCACGACTGTCCTCATATAAAGCACTATGATGACCTCAAATCAAAAGATCAATCTCACTACCGAACGTTAAAGATTAATTACTGACACTCAGATAGTTATCCATATGGAATCTTTCGGCGGGTCAATATTTTGTTCCATAACAAAACATTCACGTATTTATTCAAGTGTCACTACACTTTAGCTTGTGAGATTAGCTACTTCCTTCACAAGTAAGAAATGCCACAAGTGATGGTCTATCTGTAATAACGATTTCCATATCTCGTCATTATTTACACCACGGATGATTTAAGACTCAATCATATATATTTTGTATCTCACAATCACAACTCCTTGTGACTAACAAATTACTAAAATTTGAATTTACGGACTCCATTATTTAATTCAATTGAATATTAATTAATTAAATAATAGATCTGTCATAAATCGCATCAACTATATATTAAAAGCGTTTATATCTAAAGTCGATTGGACCTAAGGCATAACACTTACAGGTAGGGGTGAGGTATGTGGTTTCGAGGGGTGGGATGTCTCCAGAAAGGATTTTCAAGTTTTGAAAAAATAATTATACGCAGGGTGGGGTGGGATAATTAATATCAATTAGTAATATATTATTAATTAGAATTAACACTTGAATTTTGAAATAATTTCACAAGTTTGTTAATTTTGAAATGTGATTTTTACATGTAGGAGTTATGTATTGTTTCCTTGATCTTTTCCGTACTAAACTTGAGCAAGTCTTTCGATAGGTTTTGAACTTTGGGCCTTGAAGATCTCAAAACATTATATAGTTCTGTCACAGGATAACAAAATGTACGTTTATCATTGGTGCTAATTTTTATTTGTAGTTCTTAATCTACATCTTAAATTTAAGAAATGAAAAAAAAAAAAAAAAAGTCATTTCTTTGCTGAAAAATTAAAGAACAAAAATTCGCCTTTCAAAAATGACTTTCACTTTTAACCATCTTACACCATCATCATTATCAACTTTTCGACCAGAAAAATCAATACATGTTTGGGGGAGGGATTTGTTAGAGTAATGGATGGCCTTTTCGGTTATGTTTTGAGATAATTCGTGCCTACTTATCAATAT